CTAAAAGTTTCAGAGAAATCAATCCCACCCTATTGATTAAAACCTTGATCAACTAATCTAGCTTTATGGCGCTCAACGGACCCATCAGAATGATATTTAGTTTTATAAATCCACTTACAACCAACTATATTCTTAGAATTGTCAAAGGGCACCAGATCCCAAGTATTATTATTAATGAGAGCATTAAATTCATCGGCCATAGCCTCACGTCATTTGGTCTGTTTATTAGCCTCATTAAAGCACGTAGGGTCTGCTGAATTAACAACTGTACTTAAATTAAAAATGGTTTTGGGTTTAAAAATTCTCGTCTTAGCACGGGTTTGCATGGGATGCATGTTGACCACCGGGGGCGGAGTAGAGACGTTGACTTCTGAGTTATGAGAGGCAGTGGAATGACTGTTGGGGGAGGTGGGAGTGCTCGGCTGGGTTGGGTCCGAGCTGACCGGGATGTTGGACGACTAGGGACAGAGGACGATGGTGGTACCGAGGGAGAAGAGGAGGCCGGACTGGCCGCGGCTAACGGAAGAGGACGGGTAGGGGAAGGCGCGGAAGGACTGGAGAGGTTATCTGGGATGTGGGATGCCGAAGGAGAGTAGGATGGACTGGAGACTAAGAAGATAGGGCGGGGTTCAGTAGCGGGTATGGAGCTAGGCAGGGTAGGAGAGCGGGTCATGGAGATGGTTTTAAATGGGTAAGTATCCTCATGGAACCTAACATGACGACTGACATAAACACGACCAGAGAGAAGATCAAGACAACGGTAGCCCTTATACCTAGATGCATAGCCAATAAAAACACACTGGATAGATCGGGGAGATAATTTGTTGGCTGAAGTGGCGGAAAAATTCGGGTAACAGGCCGAGCCAAAGACTCTCATGAATGAATAATCGGGAATCCGATGAAATAAAATTTGGTAGGGTGACTGGCCATTTAAAATAGGAGTGGGCAATCTGTTAATAATATATGCAGCAGTAAAAATTGCATCAACCCAGAATGTACTCGGTACCGAAGCATCAAGAAGCATGGTTTGAGTTAATTCAAGGAGATGATGATGCTTTCGTTCAGCAACCCCATTTTGTTGGGGCGTGTCAGGACAAGATTTTTGAAAATAAATACCATTGGAGGAAAACAATTGCTGCATATTATGATTAACAAATTCCCCACCGCCATCACTTTGAAAAATTCTAATTTTCTGATTAAAAAGATTTTCATCCAAAACTTTAAAATTTTTAAAATGCGTAAAAACTTAACTTTTGTGATGCATGGGATAGATCCAGGTAAAGCGAGAATAGTCATCAATGAACAAAACATAATATTTGAAGCCTAAATTAGAATGAACTGGAGATTGCCATACATCAGAATGAATAATTTGTAAAGGAAGAGAAGAATTATGACTAGCATCCATAAAGGGCAAACATTGTGATTTTCCTAGTCTACAAGCAACACACTCATGAGTAAAAGGAGAATGACTACATAAAAATTGTTTTCTTTTAAGAAACTGAAAAACACTATCACCACAATGACCTAATCTATGATGCCACACAGGACCAGAAGCTAAAACAGAAGCGAGGACTAATGAGGATGATGACGGCAGACGGAGAGGATATAGTGGGCCTTGACTATTGGCACGCAGAAGCACCGCCCCCGAGGCTTTGTCCTTAATCAAAAATGAATTTTTATCAAAAATAACAATACAATTGTTATCAACACATAATCTTTGAATAGAAATTAAATTATACTTTAATTGAGGCACATGATAAACAGAGTTTAATGTGAGAGGACGACCAGATGAAGGTAAAGCAACATCACCAACATGTTGTATGGGTAAATGGGCACCATTAGCAACACTTACAGAATTATAGCCATTATAAATAGATTTATTAATTTTTTTTGGATAAACTGTAAATATATATATCCAAAGAGTTTATGTACAGCTGTACAGTACCAAAACAGATCATATGGGTCATCCCAAGTAAGGATACCACATCCGCTCAACAAAATCAAAAGTCCCTCTAGCTACATAACAATGCTAGCTATCACAAAGGGTGACAAAACAGCAAAAATTAGGCAAAATCAGAATGTTATCCTATTTAAGGGATACATGTGGTACAACACTTTATAAGTCATAAATTTGATTCTCTTGACCATATCTACCTCCGTTGTCTTGGCCCCATCAAAACAGATCGCATTTCGTATGCGCCATATCCAATATATAGTATAGCAAAAAGATAGCCTAACAGTGGGGGGTCGAAAAGATCTGACCTAGATGACCGAAAAAACTCTGGCGGCGCAGCCGCCTCCAGGAGGCGGCGGAATATGGGAACGTAAGTCTTTTGCTGATATTGTTGCTGGCCGAACAGCTCTATCTCCAGAAAAAACTAGATTCAAAGGGATGCCAGCGATATCTTTTTCTAATGGGGAGATTCAAAAATTAGCGGAAAAACACAAAAGAGCATTGCTAGGTTACTTCTTCTAGGGTAAGCCAAGATTGTTAATTATTAGAAAAGCTTTTGAGATCATTGGTTTCAAAGGATCTTTTCAATTGGGGGTTTTGGACCCGAAACATGTGTTAATTAGATTTGATTTGGAAGAAGATTTCATTCGTTGTTGGAATCGCCAATCGTGGGTTATTCAGGGTTATGTAATGAGGGTTACCAAATGGACCCCGGAGTTCAGACCGAATGTTGAATCTCCGGTGGTCCCAGTTTGGATTGCTATGGAAGGGCTACCAATACATCTACAGGATAAAGCAGCCTTATTCGAGATTGTGAGCCTAATTGGGAAGCCCTTAAAGCTAGATGAGGCTACGGCTAAGCTATCTAGACCAGCAGTGGCTAGGGTTTTTGCAGAAATAGATCCCACCAAGGAAATGCCATCCAAGATTTGGATAAATTGTGGTGATTATGGGTTCTTACAGCCAGTTTCATATGAAAACAGGCCGGAATATTGTTCAGTGTGTCTACATTTAGGGCATTCCTCAATCAAATGTCCTAAAAAACAAAATTCCCAGGCAATAGTGTTACCAAAAGAAAGATGGGTGCAGAAACAAGCAGAACCAAAACAGATTAAATTTACAAAGCAGGAGAAAGGTAAAGATAACATAATGGAGCAGACAACTTCCAATAAACAATCCACTTCCAAGGTCAATTTGGAGCCACTTATTTCTGAGGAAGAATCAGATGTTGAAGAGGTTTTCTTTGAATCCATAGAGCAAGCTGCAATGGTGGATACCAATCAGTTTAAGCTAGTGTTAGAGGCAGAAATTCCAGGAATCCTGAACTCTAATCCAAAGGAAATTAAAGGAGTAAAGGATGATATGTTTATTTATTCCATGCATAAAAATATTGATGATATAGCACCTGTGATTATCAGAGAATGTTACTCTGATGGGGAAGAAGATCAGCCTGTTTTTCCAGATCAGTTTAGGAAGGATTGGAAAATGATCTGCAAAAAAGTCAAACAAATCCAGCAAAAGGTTAGTATGCAGGAGTCAGAACCACATCAGGAGTCAGAATCACAGAAGGAGCAGGAAATCAAATCAGATCAACCACTTAATTCAGAGAATACAAATGAAGGGAGCACTGAAGACATACCCAAAAATACAAAAAAAGCTCCTAAGAACCATGACACACATTCAAAGAGAACTACAAGGAGTGCAACTAGGGGGGTTACAGGGGTTTCCCTATGAATTGCTTAATATGGAATGTTAGGGGTCTAGAATCCTCCAGTTCTAGACTGTTTTCCCTAATAAATCAATGGAGATTGCAGTTGCTTATTATTGTAGAGCCTATAGTGGCTAACCATAAAATTGACATGTTCAAAAGAAGCCTTGGTTTTGACAAAGCGATTAATTCTTTAATCAACAAAATTTGGATCTTTTGGGACTCCTCAAGGATGGATATTCTGGATTTTGTTTGGCATGAACAATATGTTCACCTCAAAATTAATAGTTCTGATTTCACAGGTTGGATCACTGGTGTTTATGGGGGTCATAACTACATTACAAGAAGAGCTCTGTGGGATGGGCTTACATCTTTCAGTGCAAGTTTGAATGAACCATGGATGGTGGGGGGAGATTTTAATGCAATAGCAAACTACAATGAACACAAAGGAAATTCCTTACCCATTATTCTAGATGTCAATGAATTTTCTGATTGTATTGCTGCTTGCAACCTGGTGGATCTCCCTTACTCTGGACCTAAATTCTCATGGATTGGTAATAGATCTAATGGTAGAGTTTGGAGGAGGTTAGATAGGGTTTTATTCAGTAATCTTTTCTTGGATAAAGTTGATAATATTAAAGTTTCTCTACTAAATAAGACCCCCTCTGACCATAACCCTATTTTGATTCAATGGTCTAACTCCAATAGCTCTGGTCCTAAGGGTTTCAAATTCCAGAATATGTGGTTGAGTAGTCAATCCTGTTTGGACTTAATTAAATCTAAATGGGCCTCTGTGGGACATCAGGGTGGTATGAGAGGTTTAGTCTCCAGGTTGAAACATCTTAAGAAAGAACTCAAGATCTGGAATAAAGAATCCTTTGATAACATTTTTGATGATATTAAAAGATGTGAAGCAGAGGTGTTACAAGCTGAAAAAAACTTTGAAGAAACACCAGGTGACCAAACAAGAGAAGATTGGTTTTTTAAGAAAAGCTTGTTGTTTAACAAGCTTAAGCTTGAGAAAAAATTTTGGAAACAAAAGGCGCATATTCGTTGGATAAAAGAAGGGGATAGCAATACAAAGTTTTTCCATTCATATGTTAACATCAGGAAAAGGAATCAGAGTATTACCTCCATCAAAACTCAGTCAGGTCAGGAGGTGCACACTCTTCCTCTCATAGGAGCAGCTGCAATTGACTACTTTGCTGATCTTTTTAAAGCTTCAGATTTGGATTCACTTCAGGCAGGTGATCACTCTGCAATCAACAATTCTCTAAGTTATATTCCTCATTTGGTCTCCTCTGAGGACAATAATCTTCTTATCAAAATACCTGATCTGATAGAAGTTAAGCAGGCTGTTTGGGATTTAGATCCAAATAGTGCACCTGGACCAGATGGTTATCATGGGAAGTTTTTCAAGAAGTACTGGGATATTGTGGGTATGGATGTGGTTAGAGCAGTTCAAGACTTCTTCCTGGGAACTCCTATTCCTCAAGGAATGGCTAGTGCTTTAATTGTTCTTATTCCTAAATCAGATAGGCCATCATCTTTCAGTGAGTTTAGACCAATCTGTTTGTCTAACTTTGTTTGTAAAGTATGTACCAAGGTCATGGCTTCTAGATTGAAAGAAATTCTACCTAAAATCATATCAAAAGAACAGGCAGGATTCATGGCTGGCAGAGAATCTGCTGATCAGATTCTTATAGCACAGGAATTGATCCATTCTATTGATAAGAAGGTCAGGGGGAGTAATTTGGTTGTTAAACTTGATATGGCTAAGGCATTTGATAGGGTCTCTTGGCAGTTTATTCAAACCATCTTATTAAAATTTGGTTTTTCCTATCATTTCACTCAACTTGTTATGAATCATTTGAAGGCTTCATACTTTTCAGTTTTGATCAATGGTGTTCCACAGGGGTATTTTAAACCCTCTAGAGGGGTTAAGCAAGGAGACCCTTTGCCACCCTTCTTATTTATTATAGCTTCAGAGGCCTTTTCTAGGGGACCAAACTGGATGATGGAGAGAGGCAAAATCAAACCCTATTGGACTGGATATGAGAGTCAGATGATTTCTCATCTAGGGTTTGCGGATGATTTGCTAATTTTCATGAATGGTAATGCAAGGTCATTATTGAATTTTAAAAAATTTCTCAATACCTATCAAGAAGCTTCTGGACAGGTTGTAAATTTGTCAAAATGCTCTATCATTTGTGGAAAGGCTCTTCCAGCAAGGCATTCAAAGATCAAAGAAATCCTGGGAATGAAACTGGCAACTCTCCCTATCAAATACCTTGGTGTTAATCTGCACAAAGGTATAAATAGAGCAGAGTTTTCTGGAAGCATTATTAAACAGTTTGAGAGCAAATTGACCCCATGGAAACAAAAAAATCTTTCTCAAGGAGGAAGACTTACACTCATTAAATATGTTCTTAACTCCATCCCTCTTCATTTATTAGCAGTGGATACTCTTCCTAAGAGGGTTATTAAAATCCTTAATAATAAGATGGCCTCTTTTTTCTGGGGTTCTTCTTCTGAAAAAAAAGAAGTATCATTGGTTATCTTGGAGGAAACTATGTCTTCCTACTTTGGAAGCAGGAGTAGGGATAAGACATTTATCTGATATTGAGAAGGCTTTTACTTTAAAGTTATGGTGGAAGTGGAAAGTTGGTGACAATTTGTGGAATCAAATTATGAAAGCTAAATATGAAAGGGAAGGATGTATGATACCTAAACTTACAGATCCTGCTATATGGAAGAGGATATGCTCAGTTAATGATCAAGCTTCAGATCTTTGCTCCTGGGATTCTGGTACTCTTACCTGGAATGAAGAAGAAGATGGTAAGTTTTCTTTTAAATCTGCCTTTGAAGAGGTTAGAGAATTATCATTCAACTCCCAAATCTATCAGGATATTTGGAATTCTAAACATGAGCTCAAGGTTAAACTGTTGCAATGGAAAATTGCTAAAGGTATTTTGCCCATTGCAGACAATTTACATAGATTTCAGATTGTTGTTAACCCATCTATGTGCCCTTTATGCAAAGCTAGTAATGAAACTGTGAAACACATCTTTTTCCAATGTCCGGTGACTGTTCCAGTTTGGAGATACTTTATGAGCATACTTGGAATCTATCAAAGACAGGGAATGGATTATAGTCGATTTGGTTATTGGATTCAAGGCAGTTCTGAAAATAACATGATAGGCGTTTTTAAAAGACATCTTCCAGGTATAATTTGTTGGATAATTTGGAAGAATTATGCTGAACGAATTTGGGGATTGGGAGGGAAAAACCCTAATTCAGATAATATGGTTACCCAGGTAAAATTATATACCCAAAACTGGGTAACCAGAGTTCCTACTTCTAAGATTAGGGGAGTCGGAAACATTTTATATGAAGAGGCTATCATTCCCAGAAACTTCAAACTGAATGGATTCAAAATCCAAGTTATTAAATGGCACAGACCGAGCAAAACATGGAAATTAAATGTAGATGCTAGCTACTCATCTGGTACGGCGAGAGGAGGGGCTATCCTCCGGAACAGAGAAGGCGGTTTCGTCGCTGCTTGCAGTTTTCCTGTGACGGCTACCTCTTCACTTGATGCAGAACTTCAGGCCATTTTCTTGGCTACGCGATGGGCAGAGGAGGATGGGTATTCGGATTTCCATGTAGAATCTGATTCGGTTTTAGCTCTGGATTACATCGAAGGTAAGGAAGGAAGGAGATGGAACGCAGAACTTCAGGAAATGGCACTGGTGCGAATTAGGAAACGGCTCGGTTTTGGGCATGTGAAACGAGAGGGTAACTGGGTCACTCATTTCTTGGCCCAAGAGAAGGTGGATCGGCCTATTACATATTTATTAGTGGACCATTTACCTACTTTAGCTAAAAGATGTTTTTGGATGGATTTTTTTGGAATTCCCTCTTTTAAAGCTTAAATTCTATTGTATCTATTTAGGAAGTTTTGGCCTAGTCCCCTTCCTTTTGTAACTCATTAATTCTTTAATAAAACTCTGGTATATGACTCCCGGCATATACCCCACTGATTTTGGTGGTTTGCCTTCCGGGTTAAAAAAAAAATAAAAAAATAAAATATCCACTTGATCCACTTGACTGCACTTTGAAGAAGATAGCCTAACAGCTTTGGCCTTTACATGCGCTCCATGGTGTTCCTTTTTGATCCACTTGACTGCACTTTGAAGCGTTGTCATCTGCCTAAAGAGTCCTAGCCATTCACGCACCAATCTCCAAACCTGCCCTGTAAAGATACACTCAAAATATAGGTGTGATACCGTTTCCGGTCCACCCTTACAAAATGGGCATACATTAACAACATCAAGATACCCCAATTTATCATACGTGGCTAACCGGCCTCGGAAGGCAAGCCAAGTAATGAAGGAAAATTTAGGGGGAATATAACTCTTCCAAATAAAGGATATCCAAGGTTGGGTATTCCCCTTAATTCTAATGAGGTCATATACTTTAGAAGAAGATAATTTTCCCCCAAAGGAACACTTTTCAAGGTAGGTCACGGCTTGCTCCTGATTTGGGATTTTGGACACCACCAAATCCCTTATAGTTCCCAAAAACTTCATAAGCCGGGAGTCCTTTGTGTGTGGAACAAAGGTCCACACATCCCTCCCATGGAGATATACACCATGGACCCATTTGACCCATAAAACATCATGCTTAGCATGTATGTTCCAAAGAGTACGGGATAGTAAAGCATAGTTCCACACTTTTGTATCCCTAATGCCCAACCCTCCCTCCTCTTTTGGAAGACACACATCAGCCCAAGAAACTTTTGCATGTTTACCCCCCCAAAGAAACATCCTACAAAGGGTAGTAATCCTATCCAAAACTGTCCTCGGCATAGGAAATATCCCTAGCCAAAAGGATTGAACCCCTTGTATTACGGATTTAATCAACTCAACCTTACCTGCATAAGAAAGTGTTTTGGAATTCCAAGCAAATAAATATTATGTAACCTTATCAATCAAAGGTGAGAACTGTGCTACAGAAATGTTCAATGGAGCAAGTGGAATACCCAAATATCTAACAGGAAAGGATCCTTGTTGGAATCCAACTCTTTGCAAAATATAGGGAACTCTACTCTCAATATTACCCCCCAAAAATATATTAGATTTATCTTGATTAACAATAAGGCCCGAAACCTTTCCAAAATCAGTCAAAGTATCTACCAAAATTTTGATGGACGAGTAGTTCCCTTTAGAAAATAACATCAAATCATCCGCAAAAGCAAGGTGTGTAATCTTTAGCTTAGAGCACAAAGGGTGATAACGGAAAGTAGGATCCAGAGTCCTATTCTCTATCATCCTTGAGAGATACTCTAAGCAAATGACAAACAATAATGGAGACATAGGGTCACCTTGTCTAAGTCCCCTTTTTCCTTCAAACCACCCATGGAGGGATCCATTAATGGATATAGAAAAGGAAGAAGTAGACACACACTCCATGATCCATCTTACAAACAAAGCAGGAATTCCTATATCCAACAAAACATTGTTAAGGAAATCCCAAGAAACTGTATCATAAGCTTTCCTAATGTCAACTTTAATCATACATCTAGGTGAAGGCCTTTTCCTAGTGTAACCCCTCACTAGCTCTTGTGCCAAGAAAATGTTGTCAGACATCAATCTTCCATCAACAAAAGCTCCTTATGAAGGGTTTATAACACTAGAAAGGAAGGGTCCTAAACGGCTAGAGATGATCTTTGTGATGATCTTATAAGTGACATTTGTGCAGGAGATAGGCCTAAAATCCGAAACAGTGGGGGAGTGATTTGTCTTGGGAATGAGTGCTACCACAGTATGGTTAACCTGCTTAAGCATAGTCCCAGTTTCAAAGAACTCCCTCACAGCATTACAAACATCCAAACCAACTATCCCCCAATTGCCTTTGAAAAAAGCTGAAGAGTACCCATCAGGGCCAGGAGCTTTGTCATCCCCAATATCAAATAAGGCTTGTTTTATTTCTAAATCTGTGACAGGACAAACCAGGTCAGCAACAAGTGTTTGATCTAGAGTTCTACCAGATTTGATTACTCCCGGGTCATACCCTTCCATAGGCACCAAAGTCCCAAATAAGTTTTTAAAGAAAGCTATGAATTCAGGTTCCACTTGATCCATTGATGTAGTGAGACTCCCATCTCCTAATCGGATGGAGGTAATAGAATTTTGAGCATTTCTTTTTTTCACAATAGAATGAAAATATTTTGTGCATTTATCTGATTGTAGAATGTGGACAGCCTTAGCCTTTTGTTTGAGGTAGGCTTCCTCGGCTTCCTTCAAAAATAAAGCCCTCTTTTTTGCAATTTCAAGTTCTTCTTTTAAGGCATCATCCAAAGGAGACAAGAGGGCTAATTGATAGATTCTCTTGTACTCCTTTTTGGATTCCTTTGCTCTAGCCGTAATGTGACTAAATTCCTCTTTATTGAGTTGTTTAAGGGGGTATTTTAGCAGCTTCAATTTTCGGACAAGCCTAAATTGAGAGGTACCAAATACATCCCTATTCCATACTCTTTCCAAAATTTTTTGAAATTGGTCATGCTTTAGCCACATATTAAAGAATTTGAAAGGTTTAGACCCCCCTTTACTCTCGGCCCCAATACTCACAAGTGA